GCATGATAGCTACAGTAGTTAGGATGTTTTCAAACTTATTTAATAACAGAGGTAATTTATAGGCTATTATAACTCAAAAGTTCAGCTGGGTTTTAGATGAGGCTCAATTCAGTGTCCTGGTTTTTATTTTGTAGTTAGGATGTTTTCAAACTTATTTAATAACAGAGGTAATTTATAGGCTATTATAACTCACAAGTTCAGCTGGGTTTTAGATGAGGCTCAATTCAGTGTCCTGGTTTTTCTTTCTCTCTAATTGTCCTTCTACAGCATTGGCCAAAGCTAGCTGTAACCCTCTCTGTCCCTTGGGACAAGGTATCTGCTGGCCTGTTAGCAATAGTCATGGCTAGGTACTTCTTTCATATTAAGTGAGGGTCAGAAAAACTTTTTTCCCTCAGTAGCTCAATGAAAGAAAGAGGAATCTTCTTTCCCTATATCCCTAGAAAATCTCTCTTGTTCTTCATTGGTCAGAGATGTGATATGTGCCAATCTCTTAACAAAATATGTAGCTGTAATTTGGGGGTATTATTGGAACAGAGAGATTGGCAACTGAGAGACAGCTAGCAAATATTCCTTACAGAAGCTAATGGTAGATGTGTGAAAGGATGCCATGCCATGGGGAATGGGTTTTCAACTTGTTTTACACAGAGTAACACTTGGAACAAAAGTTGTAGAAGGAGTGAGGAAACAACTATCAACTAAAAAAGAACAGTCAAACCAAACAGTAATGAGTTTTTATCACTCGGAATGTTCAAACGTGAGCTAGATGACTGTGGTGTAAGGCCTCAAGTTAAGGCCCAGTATTATGTGTTTCTTGACATATGGGGAAAATAGCATTTTGCTCAAGTGGAGTTCAGTGGACAATAAGCATAACTTTATTTTATTGTTATATTAACATTGAATAGTAGCTGAAATTTGATATCTGTCGGGATTCTTCAAGGAAACAGAACCAGTAGGAGATAGATATATACATATACATATATGTGATGTCATATTTAATACGAGGGTACTTCAGAAAGTTCATGGAAAGATACATATTATCTTTTAATTTTGTTTCTCCACAAACTTTTTGAAGTACCCTTGAATATACAAAGAAACTTGTTTTTTCTTCAAATGACATAACCATAAGTTCCCCTCCCCACTATGCTCTTGCAGATAAGGTTCTCTAGCCAAAAATAGGATCAGGCACAATTTCTGCTTAACCCTGATTAGCCGGTTCAGTTCCCTGCCAGCACATGGAGTTATACAAACAAGCCAGTCACATCTTCTCATGGGAACCAGAGGGCACCCCGATCTCTTGATACTATAAAACCTGCTTCCCAAGGCCGCTGGTTGTCCACTCTGTTCCTGAGTGCAACCCCCATGTAACCTTCCATGACCTGTGCTGTCCTCTTCTTCTGGGCTGTGAGTATATGTAATTAACAAACTCCTCTTGATATCATCTGTCCACTGTTGGGTTTCCTGTGTTCAGCCATCTCCATAATCTTAGAACTGGAATATCTCCCTTATCAATGGAGTGAATAGGAGGTGATTAAAACAATGACTTTCCTCTCTGCCCACCCCCTCAATCAGTGTTGTTAGATGGTGAAAGATTTAAATATCAGTTAAGTAATTGGAATAAATGACTTATGTGTTACCTTCCAATCCCAAGATTTTATTATTTCTATATTTCCAATGCTAGTATTTCTATTTATATGTTACAAATATGGAAAGGGCAATTTGTTCATCTCTCTATTATTAGTATCTATCAGATTGTTTTGTAAACTATTTATCTATACATCTCTTGCTCTCAGCTAAAAGCTCAGAAAGCCATGTTTTGTTAATCTTCATATACCCTTTAAATAGCATAATGTCAGACACGTAGCAGATATTCAATAAATATTTGGTGAGTGAATCTGAAAATTAGTTTCTCCATCAGAATTTGAGAAAAAATTACCATTGAGCTGTGAAGTTCCCCTTAAACAGCATAACATGTAAGTAAATACTATAAATGTGAATTTCCCAGCACTGTTGAAATCCACATTCACCCACCTTTAGACAGAGGGAAGGAGGTCTTGAGAGTGCTGCCCAATTTTTCTCTTCACATTCCCTTTCCAAAACTCATGCCAGTTGCCCTAAGGCTTCTGAAGAACCCTGAAGGCAGCATCTCACTTTATGTGGGAAGGAGAATTAGTATAGCTGCAAGGTGATCCCAATCCTTGCCTGTCTGTTGATTCTGAATACTTCATTCACTTCAGAATCCCTGCTGAGAGCTAAAACATTGCTTCTGCAAGAAGGCATTTATTTTAGTCATAGTTGCATTCCTCAAGTGTGTAGCTGCATAGCACCCCTATCCTAATTATAAGAAAAACATGGCGTTTTAGTCTGTTTTGTGCTGCTATAACAGAAATACCTGAGACTGGGTAATTTATAAAGGAAAGAGGTTTATTTGGCTTATGATTCTGGGACAGCTGTATCTGGCACAGGCCTCAGGCTGGTTCTACTCATGGTGGAAAGTGGCAGGGAGCCAGTGGGTACAAGCAGTTCACATGGTGAAAGGAAGCAAAAGAGAGGAAGCAAGAGAGAGAGAGAAGGTGCCAGGGTCTTTTAAAGCAACGAGCTCTCGCAGGTCCAGCACCAACTTAAAAGTTCAAAGTCCAAAGTCTCATCTGAGAGCAAAAGCAAAAGTCCTTCCTGCTGTGAACCTGTAAAAATCAAAAGCAAATTTATCTACTTCCAAGATACAAAGGTGGAAAAGACATTGGGTACACATTCTCACTCCAAAAGGGAGGAATAAGCCAAAAGAAAGGAGAAACAGGCCCCAAATAAGTCTGAAACCCAGCAGGGCAGACATTAAATTTTAAAGCTCCAAAATAATCTTCTTTGATGTGCTTCATCCTGGGCACAATGGGGCTTCTGGGCCTCCACAGCCTCCAGCAGCCTTACTTCCACAGCTCTGCCAGGTGCAGGCCAGTGGGCTGAGCCGGCCCCTTCAGCTTTTCCAGGCCTGCGTTGCACATTGCCAGTGGCCTTACAATCTGGAGTCCTGGTGGCAGCCTCTCTGCCTTGGCTCTACTAAACATTTCTCTGGTGGGGGCCATCTGTGGGGGCTCCAACCCCACTTTCCTGCTTGCATTGCTCTAGTAGATGGTCTCTGTGGTGGCTCTGCCCCTGTGGCAGGTCTCTGCCTCCATCCCCAGGCTTTTCCATACATCCTCTGGAATCTGGGTGGAGGCTGCCACGCCTCCACTTCTCTCAAGTCCTGCCAGTCTGCAGACTTAACACAATGTGGACGCCACTGAGGTTTCAGGCCTCTACTTTCCAGGGCTGCCGCATGAACCACACTTGGGGCTGCTCCAGTCAGAGCAGCTGGGATGCAGGGAGCAGGATCCCAAGGGCAGTTGTGCCCCAGGTCTGTCCTCCAGGATAACTCAGTCCTTCTAGGCCTCAGAGTCTGTGATGGGTGGGGCACCCTTCCAGATTTCTCAAATGCCTTTAGGGTATTTTTTCCATTGTCCTGGTTCTTAGCATCTGGCTGCCTCACCGCCAAGATAATGTCTTTAGCAAATAGTTTATCAGCTTCACCCTTGCATTTTTCTCTTGCTCTCCACTTCTCTACTGCATGGCCATGCTGCAAATTTTCCAAATCTTTACACACTGCTCCCTTTTTAAATTGTGGCTTTACATCATGCCTTTGTTGCCATAACTCAGAGTAGACTGTTAAAAGTAGCCATGCAGCATCCTTAATGCTTTGCTGCTTAGAAATTTCTTTGGCCAAATTCTCTGGTTCACAACTCTTAAGTTCTACCTTCCATTAAGTCCAAGGGCATGGGCACAATGCAGCCAAATTCCTTGCTATGGTGTATCAAGAGTGATCTTTGCCCCAGTTCCTAATAAGTTCCTCATTTCTGTCTGAATTCTCATCATCCACATGGTCTTTACTGTCCACATTTCTATAAACATTCTGGTCACAGCCATTTAACCAGTCTCTAAAATCTTCCAAACTTTCCCTCATCTTTTTCTCTTCTTCTGAGTACTCCAAACTCCTCCAACTTTTGCCCATTACCCAGCTCCAAAGCTGCATCCACATTTTCATCTGTAGAGCAACACCCCACTCCTTGGTACCAATTTTCTGTTTTAGTCCGTTTTGTGTTGCTGTAACAGAAATACCTGAGACTGGGTAATTTATAAAGGAAAGAGGTTTATTTGGCTTACAATTCTGGGACAGCTGCATCTGGCACGGGCCTCAGGCTGCTTCTACTCATGGCGGAATGTGGCAGGGAGCCAGTGGGTACAAGCAGATCACATGGCAAGAAGAAGCAAGAGAGAGAGAGATAAGGTGCCAGGGTCTTTTTAAGCAATGAGCTCTCATGGGAACTAATAGAGCCAGAACTCATTAATCCTCCCTCCCCCAGGGAGAGCATTATTCCATTCATGAGGAATCCGCCCCCATGTCTCAATCAGTTTCCAACACTGCCACATTGGGTATCAAAATTCCACACGAGTTTTGGCGGGAACAACACATTTAAACTCCATCACATGGAGAAAGCAAAAATAGTTGTCTTAAACATATTTGACATATCTTTTTTTCTATGACTTCTGTTTTATTACTTATTGTATTTGGATTAGCTTACTGATTAAAGTTATTCTTTTGATATAATGCCATGTGATTCTTTTCCCTACCTGTAGAGTTAAGAATTTTTTTTTGAGGAGAAAAAGAGCTGGTCTGAAAAAGGAATTTTTCTAATTTATGAGTATATTGTCTACCTTCACAAAGATATACAGTAAATCGTGCTTATTATTAGCAAGAATAAAATTACATTAAATCAGCTCTGGTGTTTGAAACCAAAGATGTGCAATTTTCATATCCATATGTCTATATAGTGCTAAGCATGTGCTTGGCACTCAGTAAATATATATTGATTAAATCATCTGAATAACAGGTTGTGCTCCATTCCATTGATCATAAACTTAAAGAAAGACATAACAAAAGTGTTTTCTCTATCTCCTGGGTTTATTCACAGTGAACAAATCCAAGCTATGCTAGGCCAGTTCAGCCAGGCAGAAGCCTTACTAATGAAAGCTGGAGTGCAGCCAGGGACTGTCGATGGAGTTCTTTTGGATCTTGGGTGTTCCTCTATGCAACTTGATGCTCCTGAAAGAGGTTTTTCCCTTCGGAAGGATGGCCCCTTGGACATGAGGATGGATGGCGGCAGGTGAGTATTGATAAAGCATTTCTCCTCACAGCAGGAAGTCAATTTCTCAAAAATACTCTGAATTTAATTTCCTTTTAAGACTGCAGAATTCCCAATCACATGCCTACACCTAACACTACCCATGCATAATAAATCAGTTTATTTTGCTACTTATTATAGACTTTAGTATTTCTCTGGATTTGGAATGCTAAAAGAAAAATAATTGGCTCTACACAAAATAGTGAGGAGGATAACTTTCATACTGATTATCTTTTTCACTGATATTGTATGAACTTTTAGACTACTAACAATATTGATAAATATCATGATATTAAAACAGTGGTTCCCTTTCTATTCATGCCCAACTATACCTCTTGGAAAAAGTAAAAAACTTTGCTTAATGCATATTCTTTTAGAATGCAAAATGCAGGGCCAGCCCATGGCTCACTCAGGAGAGTGCAGTGCTAATAACACCAAGGCCATGGGTTCGGATCCTATATAGGGATGGCCAGTTCACTCACTGGCTGAGTGTGGTGCTGACAACACCAAGCCAAGGGTTAACATCCCCTTACCGGTCATCTTTAAAAAAAAAAAAAAAAGAATACAAATTGCAAAATAGGCAAGATCTTAGAGTCAGCAGTTGTGTATTTTGTTCTATCTCTTGTACAGTCACTTTGGTTGAACCTTCTCCAGAGAAACTATGTGGTGCTATATCAAGACAGTAGTATGCATAGGATATCCTTTACACCTCCTCTTCATTCCTTACCACCCTAGAAATACTAGCATTTGTTCTCCATTATTTAAATAGATAACATATATGTTGAATACAAGATAACATTCTAGGAGAGAATAGGAATAATTCCTTTTTATTCAAATTAATTTTAAAAGTTTAGATTAGCACCTGTGTCTATGCCCACCTCTGGCCCAGAGACTGAACAGCCTAACCATGAAAGTTTAACCATGCTTTTCTCTTTCATATCATGCCTCACCACAAACTGCTTTGTCCTGTGGTAATTATTCACATATAGCCTTTTCCCCATGTTATGATATGATGTGTTAACTTGGGTTATGACCTAGATTTGTTGGATTCCTCGTTTCTGAGTCTTATGCCTTCTTTTGCACACATTTTTGGCATTCATAGAATGAAGAATGTGATCATAAAAGAAAATAATAAAAATCCTTTAAAAACCAGTGACTAATAGTAAAGGTCAAATATGTTCTCATGTTTGGAGATGGAGGTGGTTCTGCAGAGGTAATAAAATGTCAAGAAATTTTTGCTGTTCCTTTGTCTCGCTAAGGAGCATGCCTTCTAAAATACAATGAACAAAGCTTCTAGTTAATAGTAGTAAATCCCCATATTGTTAATGTAAAGACTTATCATCAAATTAAAGTCTGTGAATTAGATCTCTGAGGTTCTCCCCCAAGAAGTTGAAAGTAAGATTTCACCTAAGAATTAAGCTCTAAGTCTATACCCAATGTATGAGATGATATTAGAGTTGAGCAAATATACCTGTAAAAGCTGAATGGCTTCCAGATATAGACTGTAAGATTACCAGATCTGAAGAAAGCATGTGGCATTCAGAAAGGGGAGTTAATTCACATGAATTCATAGAAAAGGGAAAGTTAAAGACGCAAATATGTGCAATGCTAATCCAGGTGTTATTATGGTAAGAGGGAGGCTAGGCCAATGAATATGGCCTGTCAGATCCTGTAGGGTAATATATCCCTGTGATGAAGATGGATGCAAGAGGCTTTCTTAGCCTGTTGCCACTTAACAATAAAGTCTTAAAACATAATTTATTCTGTGCTGATCCCAATTTCAACAACAACTTTCAGATTATAATAAGCCTTCGCATATAGCAGAAAGAAATTCACCACTTCAAGGACTTGAGACTCTAGCTAGTTCACCTGGCAGTTATATTCTTTACTAGAAGGTAATAAATAGGCACTTAGGTTGTTATTTTCTTCCTTTCGTGAGTTTAATCACTGTAAGTCAGTGAATTTTAGAGGACTGTCACAATCAAATCTTCTAACCTATTAAGTTGGGGGGCAGATCTCGGATCTTGCTTTCTTTACCATATGAATGCCTATTTCAAAGCCACCTAGTAACCTGCCAACCTTCCAGAGTGATGCCTCTTTTGCCTTCTAGCACTATGGAAACTTCTACACTACTAGTTAATTTTAATATAAGAGTAAAATAAAATTATGCCTATTGTCCACTCAACTCCACTTAAGCCAAATGTTTTAATTTTCTTATTTAAAAGTAGAAAGGTATCATGAAAAACTACTAAGTACATCCATTGTAATCTTAAAATTGTCTTTGTAGAGCTGAACTATATCCCATGTAGTCTAAATTTACCATCATTAATGAGGTTTATTCTAATGCTCAGTGGTTTGGGCAGTTGAATTTGCAACTGGGTGAGGTGTAGCAGGGATTTTTGGCATTTAAGCAAAGGATAATGGCTGGCAAATATATGAATGGGGACAATCTAAAGGACATTGGCATTCATCGAACGTATTCTATATGCCAGGCATTATACTATCTACTGTACAGTTGTATGTACTTCTAGTTCTGCCCACAATTCTGTGAGGTAAACATTGGTCTTTTTATCTCACAAGTTTCAAAATTTAGGCTCTAGTAGGTTAAAAGCTTATCCAATATGAGTAGGGAGACCAGGATTCCAAACTAGATCCATCTAACTCTAAAGATCAGCTCTTCATCCCAAAAGCTGAAGAAGCAAAGCCTACTGAGTTGGAAATAGGGTTACCTTATAAGATGTTCCTTGTTCTGGGGGTGCCATGCAAGCCAGACAAGAAGACAATCATAGTATCTGGAAAGCAAATTTGACCAAAAAAGAGAGACAGACATAAGAAGAGATGAAGGATATTCCAAAACAAGGAACAAGCCAAAGACGACAACATATTTTTCTCTTGGAGGCACTAGGCATGTTAACAAGGCATAATTTAATATTTTCAAGGAGGGATTCAGGCATTCCTTGGCAACCTCACTCTAGTTTGAGCCCCAAGTCTTAAAGCTACCATATCATTGTTACAAGTCTCACAGTATGGTACCAACCAACAATCAATCCAACATATTAACTATAAGAGTAGTAACTGTACTATTAGAAAGGTATCTCTCTAATAAGTAAGTCACAGTTAGCTCATCACTTAGAATTCTTTGGCCTATTTCCCTAAAGTGAACTGGAATGGTCTGACAGAGTGAATGCTATTTTCTGCTACTATAATTTCTTTTTTTTTTTTTGGCCAGAGATTGGTACTTCTTTTTCTCCTCCACTTGAAATTACTATCTAGGCTTGTTCAACACTGTTTGCAAGTTACCAGGTTTTACCCCATGATGACCTTTGTCATGGGTGGATGAGCCAGTGTCATTAAGCATTTGAAATAATACACATTATTGCTATTTAGATTGTTCTAGTTTTTGTAAGGAAAATTGACCAGCAGTATCTTCTTGTATAGATTTTCTAGGTTCAATTTGTATCCCCGCAAGTGGTCAGTTACTTCACAACCTCAGGTTTAGTTAAGTTCCTGAAATCTAGGTTCATTCAAATATCATCGGCAAGCCTTGTATCTTTTATACTGAGAAAAAAACTTAAGTAGTAATTTAAATTTTGAACAACTTAAATTCAAACATTTTCCATTATTTTGGTTTGAGGGAAATCTATAGGAGCAGTAATAACTTCTTTGTAAATTAAAGTTAAAAGATACTAAAATATTGTTAACTTCCTGCTGCCTTAACCTTGATGAATATTACAAACAGTTCACACTTTCCATAATGATGGGTATTTGAAATGAAAAATTTATTTAATTTGTGTAAGATTCAGTCTCTGACTTTAAAACCATAGAAGCTCTCCTAGAGTATGCACGTATGCCTGATTTTATTTCTCAGTACTCTGAAGTTTCACCTTTTGTCAATGAACACCTGATGTCAGTGAACTAATTGGCTTTTCTTGTGCATAGGTACCCTGACATGCCCACTGCTGCTGATGTTGTGAATGCTTTAGATCAACAGGCACTTGCATCCATCCTAAGAACATATGGGGAAGAGAAGCATGCCAAGAAAATAGCTTCAGCAATTGTTCAGGCACGCAGCATCTACCCCATCACCAGAACCCAGCAGCTTGCCAGCATTGTTGCAGGTACCCTTGTTAATTCTGAAGTGTCAGAAAGAAGAAAAAAATAGCTTATACATATATAAAATGTATCTATATATATAAATAAATAAATATATACCTCCCCCAGACTCCCAGAGGGATTAATTTATATTTGAAACCATGCAGGATAGGCTAGAATATTGCCTGTCCTCTAATGTCAGCTTCCTTTTGGTTTTCCAAGTTTCCCTTTCTAACACCTCTCCCTCACAGTGTTTTTGCTTATACTGTAGTTTGGTGATTAGTATAATAATAGATTTTTTTACACAAGATAATTTATCATATGTGCCTACCAAGGTAGACATAGAAGGACAGGAACAGAAGAATTTCTTGATCCATCACAGTGGTTGATAAGTATCCTATATAAGATCTGACATTACCTTTCTTAGTTTCACATTTCTACCTTTTAATATTTTGGGCAAAAGGAGAATTGCATTGCTCAACTGCTAAAATAAAACCCAGTGACTCATACATCTATTCTAATCAACCAGCTAACAAAGGGTATGTGATGTATAGGTTATTTCACTTTGTGAATGCTAAATAAATCAGCCTGAGGGGCTTATTGAAATGTTTCATCTTTTTTGCTGTTTGCCACCATAAACCTCTTGAACCTAAGTCTAGCTAAGAGGTGCTTTATTATAGCCTTTCTGTTTGAAGCCAAAGTTATTTCACAGCTGTGTTCCATGATGAAAGTTTTCCAAAGCAAAAATACAACTCCTGCACTTAACAGAATTTCAATGGTAAATTCTTTATCTTCTTGGACTTTCTGAAACCTTATATCATTTTTATTTACCAAATATATTAAGATTTCTTTTCAATGGTTCCTATTAAATTACTTAAGTAGTTAAATAAGTTAAAAAAAAAAAAAGTTTGTGTTACTTATGAAAAGAACCTGATACTGGCTGCCTCTATCTATATTATCCATAGTTTAAGGAATTATAAATACATTATATATTGTAAATACATTGTTATAAATACATTCAGATAATTAAGATTTATAGATCAGATACCATTGTTTTATGACACAGTTAAATAAAACTATATACTACTTAGTTATGATGATAAAATATAAAGAGTTGACTAACTCTTTAATTTTTAATCTGTGTACCTCAGAGCCCTTTCAACTTACCACTGAGATTTCTTTAGGCAAGTAAGAGCAGAATTCTTGTTGGATACATGAACATAAAATATTTCATAGTATTTTTTTTTTCCTTGAAAAGAGGTTATACTAGCATGCTGACATTAAATTCACTCTGTCTTATGTCCTCTTTTTTATTCCCACTTCATACAAACTAATATGTCTCCATCTTATCATTGCTGTCATTCTTTAACTATGTTTGTAGTTTTCTGTTTTCCATATTGGAAAGAGATACAGTGAGAAGTCACATTTTTTTATCCAGGAGAAAATCCAAAATTCTCTGGTGTTGTAAATGAGAGCTTGGGGCTAGAGAGCATTTTAAGGTTGTCCAGCCAAAAAACCTCCTCTCATAACTGAAGAAACTGAGGCTCAGGGAGGGCTCAGTTTGCTAAAGGTTGACAGCCTAAATAATGACAGAGCACTGATCTAGAATTTTGAAGCTCTTGAATTTGTGGCATAATTGGGAACCTGCCTTTAAGAAATTAAGTTAACTTTTCTGTCTCTGGATCCTAATATGTAAACTTGGGGAAATAACACAGTGGTTTTAGATAGAAATTATGTGAAGAGGTACAATAGGAACAATTTAAGTTTTTTCTCAAAGATTATGATATGAAAAGCACATAAGGTATATGACAGATGATACAGTAAAAGGGAGATTATTCACATTTGGATAAGTAAAACCCCGTTTTAGCAAATGCCATTAAAACATTGAGTTCTCTATATGACTCCATTAGTGTGTCTTAAATATCATCCCATAATAATACAACTTTATTGATAATATGATTTTTTGGAAAAGGGAAAAACAAAATATGTGTTTTGATTTTGTGCTCATTTATTAAAAAACGTTTCAGGAGAGGCTGCTATATTCAATGGGGAGCAAATCAAATGTATCCTCTGTTTACAGAACTTACACATTAACAGATTATACAGTTAAGTGATTGAATAAAAACAGAGTAAAATAAACCCCTACTTATAGTATAAACTTTCTTTCATATTTATTGTAGTCTGGAGTTATGATTATATGGAGAATTATAGAATCTATACAAATAACGTGTGTGTGTATACACACACACACACACACACGAGGGGTCTTCAAAAAGTTCATGGAAGGATTTGTATTATGTTTTAATTTAATTTTTCTATGAACTTTTTGATGTACCCTCTTATATACTTAGGTCTTAATTGCAGTTCCATGAAGTCCATTCTTACACATCTATGACATATCCTATAAGCTCTGGTTATAGATTTATTAAAATGAAATAAGAATTGAAAGGTACTTTCAAAGCAATCTGAATGAGGATTTTTTTCTACATTTTCATAATTTTTTCAAACTTTTATAATTGCCTCACCCATACCTAATTGGATTGCATTTTTTTAAGTGACTTACCTCAGTCAAAAGTTTCCTAAGTCAGGCCGGCCCGGTGGCGCACTGCTACAGTGCGCTGCTTGGGAGTGCGGCGGCGCTCCCGCCGAGGGTTTGGATCCCACATACAGACCGGTTCCCGCTCACTGGCTGAGCGAGGTGGGGGCGCGGCACCAAGGTTTGCGATCCCGTTGCCAGTCCCGGTCCGGTATGGGCGCGACACTGAGGGTTGCGATCCGTTGCCGTACACGAAA